GAGGGCGGGGCGCTCGTCCCTTTACCCCCTTCACGGTCTCGGCCGAGGACCTTCCAGTCAGGTCGAGGAGACCCTTGGGGCCTTGCACCTCCCCTGCTCCGGGACTTGTCCTCCACCACCCAATTAAAGTGTCTTTCCTGTCCCCTCGTGTCTTCTTCAGATACTGAAAGGTGGAGCAGTATATCTCGTCCAGAGTTCAGACAGGGTCTGGCCTGGACCCCTTAAAAGATGAGAGCCCGAAACCAGCGCCGCCTGCCTTTCAGGCTGGGTCCCGCCCTAGGGAACCAGGACCCCGAGCGGCCGACGAGGGTGTTCACGAAAAAGAGGCCTCTGTGAGGGGAACAGAGGGGCCGTGTGAACGCCTGAACAAGGCAGCCTCAGTTCTCCAGGCTGTGTCACCATCGCGGCGCTTTCAGCTGTTGGAAAAGCAAACTCGTGTGGACTGCAGCGTCGCCCGCCCCCAGGAGCCCTGGGGGCGGCTTTACTCGGGGTCGGCAGCGACGCTTGCGGGTACGCTGGGAGGAACACGTCTGGCTTCCATTCGCCTCCCCTCCTCATCAAAGTCAGCCAAAAACGGGTCTCAGCTCTGGGAAAGAATCTGATGGATTTGGATTTAGATCACCTCTCAAGCGTATTTCTTCACTGAAATGAAACCGACACGTTTCTGCAGGGTTCTGTTCAAAGAAGACCCCTGTTCCTGTACCTCTCTGAATGACGTCATAACCAGTGATCCGAGCAATATTTCTCAATAGGTGCACGTTATGGCCAAGTGTTGAAAGGAACAGCTGTGGCATCAAACTAGACCTGGATGTGAGTCCCACCTGCTAGCTGATTGACCTTGAATGAGTAACCTATCCTTTTTAGCCTGTTTCCTCAACTGTAAGACACATCATAAATCTCCCTCTCATAAGGGTTGGTGTGATGCCTCAGTGGAGTAAGGCTATTAAGGGGTTGACAGGGCCTGACACAGAACTGCCTCAATACCTGGTACCTATGATCAACAAACACCTTTAATATCAGGCTCTGATAAATAACAACAGAATTAGCTGGCTAAACTATTTCAGAGGTAGGAATTATAATTCCTTCTTACTCATAAATTCTTTTTAAACGTTGCTACGGCAAAAGCCACAAAGGAAGAACAATATGTCAAATGCAACGCATCCGAAATGAGCCATTGTTTCCCCTGCAAATCTTCTCTTATGCATGTGTCTTTTCATCTCTGATATTAGTTATCATCTTCCTAACACTCAAGTTGAATTATCATTTATCTTTTAAAAGGCATAAATCAGATGATGCCGTTCTCCTACTTGAAAACCTTTAGTGGTTTCCCATTTGATTTTTTTCTTTTTTGGGGGACAGGGTTTCATGCCGCCACCCTGGCTGGAGTGCAGCAGCATATGGTGATCATGGCTCACCACAACCTCGAACGCCTGGCCTCAAACGATCCTCCTGCCTTGACTGCCTAAAGATGTGGAATTCCAGCTGTGAGCCACCTTGCCCAGCTGTATTTGATTAAAATGAAATCCAAATGGGTACCATGACCCACAAAGCCCTAGGCCTTCCTGCTTCTGCCCACCCCTCTGTTCTCCTCTGTTTCCTTCTCCTCCTTCCTTACTCCCCTCCAAGGACACAGGACATTCCTTAGGCCCTGGCATGGACCAACCCTCAGGGCTCCCTCAAGACCTCCTCCCTGGCAGTGCCCTCTGCCAAGGTTTTTCCCCAAGTTTTTAAAATAGCTGACCTTGGCTGGGCTTGGTGGCTCAGCCTGTAATCCCAGCCCTTTGGGAAGCCGAGGTAAGAGTATTGCCTGAGCCCATGGGTTCAAGACCAGCCTGGGCAACTTGGTGAGACCTCATCTCTACAATAAATCAAAAAGGTAGCCGGGCATGGTAGCGCATGCCTGTAGTTCCGGCTACTTGGAAGGCTGAGGCGGAAGGATCGCTGGAGTCCAGCAGGTCGACGCTGTGGTGGCCGTGAGCATGCCACTGCACTCCAGCCTGGGCGACAGAGTGAGACTCCAACTCAATAATAAATAAATAAATAGCTGTCCTCTTCCATCCTCTGCTTTCTGCTTATGCATTGCAGTATTGAGCAAGTATTGCCGGGTATGGTGGCTCGTGCCTGTAATCCCAACACTTTGGGAGACCGAGATAGGGAAGATTGCCTGACCCCAGTAATTCGAGACCAGCCTGGACAACATAAAGAGACCTCATTTCGAAAAAAAAAAAATTTAGGTGGGTTTAGGAGTGCCCACCTGTAGTTCCAGCTACTCCAGAGGCTGAGGTGGAAGGATCGCCTAAACACAGGAGGTCGAGGCTGTGGTGAGCCATAATCATGCCACTGCACACCAGCCTGGGTGACAGAATGAGACTCCCACTCAAAAAATAAAATAATACTAAAAGTATTCAACAAGTATTTACTGAGCTTCTGTTGTGTGTCAGGAACTGTTCTAGGTACTGCGGATACAGTGAGTGAGCACCACAGAACACAGCCCCTGCTCATATGAAGCTCAATAAAGATAAATAACAAGAAAAAAAATACCAGGTTAAAAGAAGGGTGATGTGAGAGGGAATGTGTGAATGGCTACTTTAGTGTGAGGGTCAAGGTAGGCAGAGCCTCTCTGAGACGTGACCTTTAAACTGAGATGTGAATTAAGAGGAGCCAGCCTTCAAGTAAGCTTCAGGGAAGAGTACCTTTGCCAAAGGGAACAGCCAGCACAAAGTCCTTCGAGGATGAACTCGCAGGCTTGGGAGGCTGGAGGAAGGAAAGGAAAACACGCATGGAGGTTTTTGAAAGCCAGGGTGGTGGGAGGGTGTGTTAGTTCCTACATGCTATAGGAAGCCAGTAGGAGGCTTTGAACATGAGAATAACTTCATCTGACTTAGGTTTTTTTGCTTTTTGAGCTAGAGTCTCACTCTGTCGCCCAGGATGGAGTGCAGTGGCACACTCACGGCCACCCTAGCGTCAACCTGCTGGGCTCCAGTGATCCTTCTGCCTCAGTCTTCCAAGTAGCCAGAACTAGAGGTGCACATCACCACATCTGGTTAATTTTTTACTTATTGCAGAGATGAGGTCTCCCACGTTGCCTGGGCTCGTCAATTTTTTTTTTAGTTGGAGTCTCACTTTGTCACCCATGCCGGAGTGCAGTGACATGCTCACAGCCACTGCAGCCTCGACTTGCTGGGCTCAGATGATCCTTCCACCTCAGCCTTCCTAGTAGCTGGAACTTCAGCCATGCACCACCACACCTGGCTAATTTTTTTATTTATTGTAGAGATGGGGTCTCGCCAAGTTGCCCAGGCTGGTCTCAAACCCTTGAGCTCAGGCAATCCTCTCACCTCTGCCTGATTTAGATTTTTTTTCTTTTTTTTTTGAGTTGGAGTCTCACTCTGTCACCCAGACTGGAATGCAATGGCCGCTCCTGGCCACCAAAGCCTCAACCTGCTGGGCTCTGGTGATCCTTCCGCCTCAGCCTTCCAAGTAGCTGGAACTATAGGCGCGCACTACCACGCCCAGCTAATTTTTGATTTATTGTAGAGATGAGGTCTCATCAAGTTGCCCAGGCGGGTCTCGAACCCGCGGACTCAGGCAATCCACTCACCTCGGCCTCCCAAAGTGCTGGGATTAAGGCTGAGCCACCGAGCCCGGCCCTGATTTAGATTTTTTAAAGAGCACTCTGGAACAAATCAGAATGTGAGACATCAGCCACTAGCCCAGATACTTCATAAAAGTATGATGAAAACCAAGTTCAAGAAGCCCTGTGAGGCTGAATGGAGTCCTGGATCAGAGGGGGCTGTTTGTTCCGTGGCACAAATGTCTGAATGCCTATGGTGAGCCGAGCGCTGTGCTGGGCGCTTAGGAACACAGCAGTGAGAGCTTGAGTGCACCATCTCCATGTGACTCAATGGAACCACCAGTGCTACGACTGCTGACAGGCTTCCTCAACCATTTTCTGGTGCCTTGAAGTAGGGAGAGAGCAGCGAGGATGTGCACAGCCTTGCAACATTGCAGGGCCAGGCCTCAGTTTTTATTTTTTTATTTATTTATTTATTTTATAATATTTTTTTTTGGAGTTGGAGTCTCACTCTGTCGCCCATACCGGAGTGCAGTGGCCGCTCCCGGCCACCACAGCCTCGACCTGCTGGGCTCCGGCGATCCTTCCGCCTCAGCCTTCCACGTAGCTGGAACTCCAGGCGTGCGCTACCACGCCCGGCTCATTTTTTGATTTATTGTAGAGATGAGGTCTCACCAAGTTGCCCAGGTGGGTCTCGAACCCGCAGGCTCAGGCAGTCCACTCACCTCAGACTCTCAAAGCGTGGGATTATAGGCTGAGCCACCAAGCCTGGCTGAGACCTGATTTTTATTCTGTTTTTGTCTTTAATCAACTGACTTGCCTTGATTAAATCTGTACCCTAACTTTTCCCACATGTAAGACATAGAGGCTGAACTAGGAAAGCTCTAAGGTTCTTTACATCATTAAAAACTTACGCTTCTGAGACAGTATTCACTCTACAAATTGTTATGATTTGTCTCTCAGATGAGTTTCCTTTTTTTTTTCTGTCTCTGGATTGTTT